CGTGCATGCGTGTGCAGGTACACGTTCGTGTGTGCGTGCGTGCGCGCGTGCGCGCGTGTGCAGGTACACGTTCGTGCGTGCGCGCGTGTGCATTTGCACGTAGGCGTGCGTGCGTGCGTGTGCACGTACACGTGCGTGCATGAGTGTGTGCGTACGTGTGCAAGTACGCGTGCGTGCGTGCGTGTGTACGTACATCGTACTAGTGCTGCCACCTATCGTGGAGGTTAAGCTAACTCGAGTTAAGCGTCTACACGGGCCTTAACTCGAGTTAAGGTAACTCGAGTTAGCTTAACCTCGATCGACTGGCGAGGTTAAGCTAACTCGAGTTAAGGTTCGTCGTGTAGACGTAGCTTATAGCAAGCACGAAAACCAGACCAGGCCACGCGCATTGGTAATGCGCCTTTGGTAGTGCGGTAAATCTGTAGGTGGATCAATACATCTGCCAGGCGCAGCCTCACTATTTATTACTATGTTTCTAATTAGTTATTGATTGATCATTTTTCAGGAGCTATACCATCAGCAGTATAAGAGTGCAACTGTGTTGTTTGCATCCATACCGAATTTCTTTAAGGAATTCTACATGCAAAACGCGATCACAAAGGATGGTTTGGAATGCCTTAGAGTTCTGAATGAGATTATTTATGACTTCGACAAGGTAGGAATCTCTTGCATAAACATGCAATACACGATAACCGGTTAAGTAAATTCATTGTTGTCCTTGTGGTGTAGGATTGATATTTTTATGTGGTGTATTTGTTGGCAATTCGTTGCAGTTATTACTGAAACCGAAGTTTTGCGGTGTAGAAAAGATAAAGACAATAGGCAGCACCTACATGGCAGCAGCGGGCTTAGTTCCAGGACAGGAGAATACCCAGCAGGTTAGAGATTGGGGGGTTTCGTTCTCAGTTTGTAACATAGATACACTCGTAACCGACTGTAGCACCCACTAGACGTAGATCTCTGAACCCAAAGCAAGTAATTTTTTTATATAGTATATGCGTGATGAATATTGGCACCTTATCCAGGACGTCGATGATCAGTCGACCATAGTTTAATTGCGCGAGTGTCTATATATATGTTTGCCAACATGATATTTCATCCGTTACACCTTAACGTGCCACCTTTGATTGTCTCAGTCTCTGTATGTGTCAGGGACTGTTAAAAACGCGCTTGTTTTTAAACAACTTGGTTATTTTTTTCCAGGATTCTGATCACCATGTGATTGTGATGTTGGAATTTGCTTTTGCGATGATATCAGTTTTGAATCAATTTAATAAAGACTCGTTCAACGATTTCAAACTGCGCATGGGTAAGTATATATACGATAACATTGTAGCCTTTTAGCTAGATCTAATCGATCTAATAGATCTATTATTATTCACTCCTGACCATATTAGGTGCATGTCATATCAAAAGATTGTAGCTGACATCATGAACTCATACGTATTTGCGTTGCTAAGTAAGCTTGTCTGCCTAGAGATTGTCTCTTTGTTCTGTATCTACGTCTGCGCAGTTTCACGTACCTGGTCATCCACTTTTATTGCGCGCTTTCACGTACTTTGTCATCAGCTTTCATTTGTAATCGAAGTGCAGATGTGATAATACTACTCACCACGTGCGATACGTGTGCAGGAATGAGCCACGGAGAAGTGATAGCGGGAGTCGTTGGCGCGCAGAAGCCACAGTACGACATTTGGGGAAACACGGTGAATCTGTCGAGCCGCATGGACAGTCACGGCACTGTCGGCAGACTACAGGTGCGTTGTACGGTGAACGACGGCTGCTACGGCGAATAGTGTCGGCAATGTCGGCGTCTTTTAATTTGCATCGCGTATAGAAAGAAACTTCAAGATCGAATAGAGTTACATGATCAGTGTGAATCACGGTGGCGATTTAAGTTTCCGAAGAGCACGGTGAGTGAGTGCATAAGTGTATGCGTGCGTGCGTGCGTGTGAACGTGCATGCGCGAGCATGTGTGTGTGTGTGTGTGTGTGTGTGTGTGTGTGTGTGTGTGTGTGTGTGTGTGTGTGTGTGTGTGTGTGTGTGTGTGTGTGTGTGTGAGAGAGGGAGATTGATTTAGTGAGTGAGTGGGTAGTTGAGTGAGTGAGTGAGTGAGTGAGTGAGTGAGTGAGTGCGTGCGTGCGTACGTGTGTGTGTGTGTGTGCGTGCGTGCGTGCGTGTGTGATTGATTAATTGAGTGAGTGAGTGAGTGAGTGAGTAGACACTGTCCGGCAGAGTGCAACATAATCTCATCCTCGGCAGACCTCCAGGGCAGAGAATCATTGTGTCTGTATCTGTATCTGTATTTGTGCGTGTGTGTATGCGTTTATACACAGGGCCTTTTCTCGCCATGTCATTACAGGTGACAGCGAATACGGCAGACGTGCTGCAGGCACACGACTACGAGTGCGTGTGCCGTGGACTGATCAACGTGAAAGGGCGCGGCATGCTCACCACCTACTACGTAAAGACGCCCAACGACAACGCGGACGACCTGAAGGACGTTCGAATATCGCAGCTCTGATCGACAACGCAATCATAGACGTAGATAACTATTATTGCTAGTATTATCAAATATATTTTAATAATTGTTGGCATTAATGTGAGATGGTTATTATATACGTCTATGGGCGCGATGGGGACGACTCGTGACGTCAGCAATCGACATGCGTTCGTGAGCGGATCAGGAGCGGTCACGTGGTTCCAGTCGAGGCAGTACCAGAAATACAGTGACTCGTCTTTGGCCGGCTCGTCTGCTTTGCGTGTCTGCTCTTTACCGCCCCAGTCTATATCGCTCCACATAATATATATATATATATATATATATATATATATATATATATATATATATATATATATATATATATATATATATACGTATATACTTATATACATCGTTTATAATAAGGGGCAAGCTTGTCAAATTGTCTATTGTGGTGTCAGTAGGGTTTTCGCAACACCTAAACCACGAATTGTTCATGGAATGTGAAAACAAGTAAACTGTGTGCATACGTGAAATACCTAAATCTATGAAACCATATATCCAGATAGCTAATGCAGTGGCGATATTAGTATTGTTATATGTGCACTGATTTTTTTTTAATCACGGATAGCATTTATATTTATGACTCATGTATGACGCATATAAAATATACAATTTAAGCGCCTGTCTAAATAGACTGGTTATATACAATTGTTTTCAAATTACATTCGGCATTAGAATGAAAAACATACAGTGTCTAACCTTCCAGGCATCAACACATACACAGCTGGTTTATAAATGAGGGAACAATAGCGCCTCCATTATTACAAACAGCATGGAGACCAAGTAATTTTTGACGATACTGTGGAAGAAAGTGAAATCTCACATTCAGAACATAATAGCTAAGCGAATGTCTACTGATGTTGATGCTTAACACGTTTAAACGCCGACGTTGTACGACGTATTGTTTGTAACTGTTTAGTAATACCCCGCGAAGTTTTCAGAGTAGAGATAGCCGCCCTTTTAACTTTGGTATATGTTATAGATATTTCATATGTGCAATTAATGGTCAAATGTCGTGTAAATTGTGTGGCTACGCTCGCACAATCAATCAGGACCGCGCAATATGCAAGTCACGAATCCCTACACCTAATCACACAGCAAGTTATATGCCAAACAAGATGCGTGCAGATAAGGTCTATGTCCCCCTGACCTCTGTTTAACCTGGCTCGTTTAGCTATTTCTGACTAATATATATATATATATATATATATATAATATAATATATATATAGGGTTAGGGTTAGGGTTAGGGTTAGTCAGAAATAGCTAAACGAGCCAGGTCAAACAGTGGTCAGGGGGACATAGACCCTACGAGCCTTACTTGTGCAGTTCTGGCAGGCGGGATGTGCAGCCTGATAAAGAGAAATTATACATGTGATCTTGTGTTCTCGAGTAATTCAGTATCGAAGTGTATTATCATGGAGATATAAAGTCTGCTTGGCCCGCTAACGTTAACTTGCGTTACGCTCCCTGCGGAATGCAATCCATCCAGTGGCTCGATGCTTTTTATTTTTTATATGTAGTTTTGTATAAAAATATATAGTAACTGATATATTTTAAACGAATTATCAGTGTTTTTGCAATTCAACTATGTATTGTCACTGGTACAGAGATAGATGTGTGCATGAGAGAGAGAGAGAGAGAGAGAGAGAGAGAGAGAGAGAGAGAGAGAG